CAATGGCACAGTATGTGAATAGGAGTTTCGTCCTTCTTTTCTCATATTCTACATAACGAGTCATCAGATAGCCCTAAGAGATGTCTTCTAAGGCAGCAGTATCCCGTAATAAAGAGCCCTATTAGGGCCTTTAGTTTGCTTTTGCTGAGGTTAAGCAGTTTATTTGCGTGCTATGAAGAATGAAGAAGTTATGTGTCTCGAGAATATTGTGTGCTCTAAATTTGCGCAACGATAAGGCAGCACTCTACAAAAGGTGAAAAATCCTTTAAAAACAATCAGATATTTATTAAAACAAAAAGCAGTAATTTTTCTTAGATTTAATAAAGAACGGAAAGTATTTTTTTTTCTACGATCACTATCCAAAGAAGGCTTTTGCGCTTCAAGTGGAAAAATGTACAGCTTTGTTGCTCGCCTTATTTAAATTAGATATAACATTGTTACGCAGCACCCTGCAGCGTGCTGCGGTCGTCATAAGTAAAGGTACGAGAAAATGAAGAAGATAGAATAGTCCACAAATGTCTCGAAATGTCATTCCTTGTCAAAAAAAAGCCGGATTGTTCGAGAAGGTTCTAGAAGGTTCAGGCAAGCTATATAAGACGACGATCTGACTTCAGAGTTTCAGTTTTATAATAGACGTTATACGTTAATGTTATCAGTCGGATAGTTATTGTTAAAGTTGAATTGAGTTATTGTAAAATTTGAATTGAAATAAATTGTGATTTCAAAAACCTGCGTAACATTGGCGACAGCGGTGGGATATAAAATAAAAGTTACTCAAGCATTCTATTGGAAGATTATTGCATGTCACTAACATATGTGTTTTAGGTAATATTTCAGCTCAACAAAAGACCCACTAAGTTATTAGATAAATAATAATTCATTAGATAATTACAGTAAATGATAAATAAAGGCCTAAAATAAAATAACACTATTGGTATGTGATTATAGGGAAGCATAGAGAGGTCGAACTTGTCACAGATGTTAGGGGTATTCGATAAATACGTATAACCAAGATGTTCTTATCTTTTTATCCTAAACTATTACTAAGGACGTAACAAACTTCTTGGTAATAATATACTTTTCGTCATACTGTACTATTATTTTACCATAATATGAGCGAAATTGATATCGAAAAGGTGCATTTAACGGCCGCGCACCACCTACAACAATCACAACAATCTAAAGTTGCCTAGCAACCACATCAATATACTGTACAAACATTGTAAGTTTGACAGTACTGTTTCTTGTTGAGTGATTATAGAGCGGAAAAGATCAAAGATGGAAGAAATTTTCGAAAACGATATTCCCTCCGATGTACTGGAAGAAGCAGCTGCGGCAACCAAAAATTTATTTCCGAGTACAACCCAACAAAGATATCAGCAGGAATACGACAACTTCGTGAAGTGGCGTCAGAATAAAAACATACATAGTGTAAGTGAAGAAGTACTGCTAGCTTATGCAAAAGGAATGTCTGAAACGTATTCTCCTACATCACTGTGGACAAAAATATCAATGCTGAAACTTGCGTTAAGAATACATGAAAACATTGACATATCAAGGTAAATTACTATACTATCCGCCAACATTGAACTAACTATATACTCATCGAAATTATGTTTGTTTGTAGATTCGGTAAACTATTCTTGTTCCTAAGGCGCAAAAATGAAGGTTATACCCCAAAGAAAGCCAAGGTTCTATCGGAAAATGATATACTTAAATTTTTGCTGGACGCGGATGATCATACCTGGCTACTGGAAAAGGTTGTGTTAGTGCTCGGTATTCTAGGAGCTTGCAGGAGAAGTGAACTTACGTCTCTCACCATTAACAGTTTCGAAGATACAGAGAAAAACATCCTCGTATCACTAAAAAATACTAAGAATAAAAAAGACAGAAATTTTCTTATCCCAAAAACAGGACTTCCATTTGATGCATATGGTTTATACAAGAAATACAGTAATCTGCGTCCTCCTAGTTTCAAAAATCAGAGATTTTTCGTTGGTTATAGGAATGGCAAATGTGTGCAGCAAGTCGTCGGCATACATACCATCGGAAGCGTTCCTAAGAAAATTGCCACCTTTTTAAAACTTGAAAATCCCGAACTTTATACAGGACATTCATTTCGTAGAACATCAGCAACTATGCTCGTAGAAAATGGTGGTGACTTACTGTCATTAAAAGAACTGGGAGGATGGGAATCATCAACGGTGGCGGAAACTTAACATAGAAAAATCGGTTTCTAAAAGAATGAAAATAACAAAACAACTTTTTCCAAATAATCCGGAGAATATTGCATCTTCAAGTACTGCAAATAGTTCACATTCTTCAGAAACATCTTTCTCTGTAAAATCTAAATATCCTTGGGACGGGTTGCAGATTTCAAATAACACCAATTGCGAATTCAATTTCCACATCCATTACAATAAGGAATAAATTGTTTTATTCCGTACCTATCTTTTAAGAGTTACGTTTAATAAAATTTGTTCTTAAATTAGGTGTTTTGTTTTTGTAGCAGTATGACGAAAAATCTTGAACGAAACACGGCCGATAACAGCAAATAACGGCCTTGGCTGTTTATGATCCTCGGCTATCGCCTCGGATCACAAACTTCAGCCCGGCCGTTATTTGCTATTATCGGCCTTATAACGTTAATAACTATAATCTAAGTAAAAATACGTGTTAAAAATATTGTATTTTAGATTTCCTTTGTACCTGAAGACATTCTAGGAATTTTAGAAGCAAAATAAATACTACAGATTTGTCTAAAGAAGAATATATAACACCTGGAATTTTATAAAAAGGGAATCTACAGCTAGGTACATGGTACGTCTATATTGAAAAAAAAAACATCAGATCCAAGCAAGTAAAACTAGAAGAAAATTTGAGAAAAATCACATACGATGCCCTCGAGCATACATTAGAATATCTTGCTAAAAAACATAAGTTGTTTTTTTATAAAATCTTCATGCTAACTTGGAAATCCATAATTAAGCATAAAATTTGTAAAATGTAAAAAAAAATCAATACACTAACATTGGAGGTTTTATTTAAAACAACAAAGTAAGATTATCTAAAAATAAGTGCAACGATTTAAACTTGAGCATATTTTTTTAATTTCTATATAATAGTTAAACAAGTAGGTCAATTTTTTTTTTATTCAATATGTTGTGGAAAATTAAAATCTTTTTATATAAAAATATAATTTATCTTCTTCTAATAAATTGTCATATATTTATGTTACATTATTGAATAAATAAAAATATTTCCAAGCCACATGTAGTTAGAATAAAATAATTTTTGTTCACTTTTGCATAAATAATAAACTAACAAAATAAAAATATACAAATATCTATACAAAAAAAGTTAAAAGGTTTGATTTTAAAAAGATGATATATCTCTTTGAGTACAGGTAAGCAATCTGGGAACTCAGCTATCTCGGATAACTAATCATTGTTGTAATCATCTATTATTCACAGATCTAGTTTTTTTTAGCATCATACAATTGTCATCTTGAAACGTATCTTATATAAATATACTTTTGTACAAACGTTCACTGTTTAAGCTTCGAGTGAACCTTTGCAATATTGATACCTTATTATTCTATTAAGCACATTTTGTCCAATCGTTCAGTGCTTTATAGGTGGCTTCTACTATTGCACATGTGTTTGTGTGATATACCTACCTCTACTGTTGTGATATTACTACTTGCTTTCAAGAACATTTTAATAATAAATTTATATAAATATTTTGTTTTATTTGAAACTTCCATGTCTCGATTGAGTTTTTACTATACCTCAATTTCAGACTCTCTGTATTACATTACACAAAGAACAATATAGTGTGTCCATGGATGGACTTGTAAAAATATTTATTTTAAATTAAAAAAAGTAATTTTTCATAATTTCTTAAAGTGAATCGAATTTATTTAACAAGTAAAAGAAATTATGAAGAATTACTTTTTTAATTTAAAATAAATATTTTCACAAGTATAGTTAAGTCCATTTGTGGACACACTGTATAATGCTGTAGAAATAATTCACATTATAACATCTATAGAAAGTTTCAGAGCAACTTTCAGGGTAAGTACCTTAAAAGTGCTAGTGTGATGTTTTCCGAACTGCACTTTGTAACCTCTGTGAGATGTGCTATAAAAGTTTTGCCGTTGCTGACATTCGGTGGTTGCAGGGATATTAGGGTTACATTAAAAGTACATCGCATGTGAGCTTAAAGAGCCTAAAATTTCAGCTTATTAAAGTAGATGGTATGTTTTTGTGCTAGCTGGGTCCACTCTTGTTGCACAAACTACTATTATCTAGGTACTAAAATATATTTAAATTTTAACATATTCGATGAAAAGCCATCTTGCTTAAGGAAAGCGCAAGGTCCTTTGTAGTTGGCCCATTCTAAAAAAAAAGTTTTTCTCATCCCTGCTTTAAAAATTTTCTATTTAAATTACTATTTTAACAAAATATGTTCAACACAAATAGAGTATATAGTAAACAATCGATTTTAAAATTCCGAAAACTTATCGATTATAGATCCGAAAACAAAGGTTTATAAATTCTATGGAAGTCCTCAAATAAATTACAAAATTACACCTACGAAATATTGAAAATATTTTGTAACCCCCAAAATGAAAACAAATTTAATGAAAAATTTAAAAAAATCCATTTGCAGGTGGATTCGAATCCACCTATTAGTGCCCTAACCGCCAAATATATTAGTTGGTAGCTGTTAAATATTATGATAGTGATTCCGTTGTTTCTCCATTTGCTGATATATTTCTTAAATTAATTGTAGAAATGTGCCAATACCATTGTAACTTTAAAACCCTGTATCTCAATAAAATAGTACGAAAATAGTTCATAATATTTGTATATCAAAATTAATGTTTTCATGATTAAAATATAAACCATTATTTACAAAACACCCTATATCTACACCTTTATAAATTAATAAGCAATTTATCTATTTTTACACATAACATTTGAATGCTCACTTACCTTTATTATTTCTTATTTCGCTGGACTTGATCTCTTCGACCAAAGAAGTGGGAATACCAGCGGAAAAAGCAACAAGCGTCGAAGCAACAATTAACAAGTCGAAGGAGGCAACGAAGGCATGGCGCAGTCCCATCATTCGTGTTAGACGTCACCAAACTTGCTGAACTGCTGAAATGTAACTGAAAATCGGAAAACCCGGCCGACGATTTTCATATATCTGGCTCGGCCTACTACGCATCCTCGAGAGAAACTCGGGAAAGGTGAGCCTGCAGAACCGATTCGACACAATATGAATTTTAGGGTTTGTCTCTCATATTGTTTTACATTTTATAATAATTATGATTCCTATACTTTCCATCTGTATACAGACAGAAAAGTAAAAATTATGTAAATTAGTTTTTAGCAATGTGTTTTTTACACAGGATTGATTTCTGACGTTATAGTCTTTCAATAGAATAGATATTTGATGTGCCCAATGTTGGAAAATAATTATTAAAATATGTTCCTAACATTTATTTATAACAACCCCTCAAGAGTAAAGTTTGGGCATGCGAATCCATGGGTCGCGGTTGAATCCGGGATTTTTTTATTTTATTTAATTATTTAAAAAAAAATCTGATGTCTAGGTAGGATTCCCTACTCCGGCCAGTCACTGTTGGGTTCTAATTAACAGTGCTGTTCCTGAAGTGGCGCTGAGAAACAGCAACAAAGCCTACACAGAACACACATAAATGAAAATCAAACACAAACTGAGACTGGCATATTAGATGTATACACTTTAGAATCAGTGGCGGTAAACCAAAAAAAAAAGAAATTACTTACATATTTTATATTTTCCCCAATGACTATTATTATTTTATCTAATATTCAGCGCAAACCGCGTTGGCACGACCTGGACGACCGGGCGTTGAGCGACATTCCAAGAATTCAGAAATTAAGTGGAAGGGCACAGTAAATGTGTGCCTCTGTTGTTTTCTCTCTCTTTATGATGCGAAAAACAAGGACAACGACAATATCGCTTAGCAAGAGATGAACACATGCGATGTATTATACGTCACAAGCAGGGCGCTGTCCTCATTGTGACGGCACAGATTACCTGGACCAGATACGAATGTACGCAGCGGTATCTTTACCGGCGATGCCATTTTCGGCTAAAGGTGCGCGTTTGTTGGACCATGATAATAATTTATTTATTGTGATTACGAAAAAATGTTAGTTGGACCATTGGAATAGTTAAGAAATAAAGCTACAAAGACAAATAACTTTTTTTTTATAAAGCAGTCAAAAATATGATGAAAAAAAATCAATAATAATTATAAATGGGACAAAATTTTGTCTGACTTTCTTGAGGATTTCAAATCTCTGTTTGCATATTTAAGAGTATATAAATAATTTAATGGTGTACATTTTCGCAAATTGTTGGCAAGGATGACCAAATTCTATTTTGCTCATCTCAAAAAGGTATGCGTTGGAAATTCTAGGCTTAGTTGACAAACTATCAAATAGAGATATAAATATTTTTTTCTAATTTGAAAATATAAAAGAGAAATTTTTCGCTGAAAAATTTTAAATTGCCAAACACCTTTTCTTCAGAGTAGTATGCTTTAAAACGCGTTAACAAGTTAGAATTGTTAAGTAAATTGCATTATTCTGAGAAATTTACGCAAATTTCGCAAGAGTGGATATGTAATAATTTTTTGATTAAATAGCCACATACATAGTTAAATGCACTTTGAGTGTTTGAGTAGTCACATTTAGCTCCCTGTAGTCACATTCAGAAATCGTTATTGCCCCAACTGATTGTTTTGAAATATATTTAATTTTCATTAAGGGAAAAACGAATTCCGGGATTCCTGTCCAGTGTGTGCCCCACTGTCGCTAGTGCCCACGAGCCGCCACTGTTTAGAATATAAAGTAGTAAGAAAGGAGAGTGTGCCACATTTCCATGGAGCTATCGTATTTCTAAAGGCGGGTACAGATCTGAGCACGTACGCGTATGAGGCAAGCCGAGGTCGAACAGAATGACTCGTTCGACGCATTTTGTATACACGAATGGTGGACGCACGAGGCGCTGTTCGCCACTGATCCAGTAAATTCGGGAACACGCAACCATATACCCAGAACATTCGTAAAATTAAAACAAAAATGAAGGATGAGGATGACGTCGCGGAGTAAATTGCATGTTTTATTATTTTATCCGACACATTAAAGAAAAAAGGAGAGAAAGGAATCGATGGCCGATTTCCTGCCAAGGATATTCTTTTTTATTATGTTGTAATAGAACTGGCGTTTTTCTCTCTTAAGATATCACGCTGATTATTTAAATCCAGAAGAAGCAAAACGTTTTCCAGGTTCCGTTCCATGCAAAATAAATACTAAAAACTCCCTATAATCTGTACGGTGCTGTATGGTACAAATTCACCATTCAGACTGAGCACGTACTGCGCATTGCCTCCCTTTGATGTACCGCCAACAAACGGATCGGGGCGAGGCCGTACGACGCACACGAGGCAATTTGCCGCGCCTCGGAAGCCCGTCCACATCTGCATGCTCATGCGTCCTCGGCTTGCCTCATACGCGTACGTGCTCAGATCTGTACCCGCCTTAATAGGAAACGTGCTAACGTACGTGACAAAGCGGGCCATTTTTTGGTTAACGATTTATAACTCAATTAACTCATTGATTGTTTGTGTCATTTGAAAGCAAGGGCGGATTTATATGGGGGGGGGGGGTACTGCGGGTAATTACCCCCCATGATTATAATTTATAAAAAACTTACAAAACTTATAAAACTTATAAGAAGTAGTCTGCCCTTCTAATCCAAAAAGCGGTATCTCAAAAAACACATTTTTTTATTTTTAAACGCATTAGATAGCTTGAAAAACATAAAAAAAGACAAATTCACGTATCTCAACTTAACTTGTATTTACTAAAAAGGTTAGGTGCATGACATACATTAATACTAAGCCAAATGACTTCATATCCATATACGACACAAGAAATTCAAAAACAAAGAATAATTTAAAGTAATCCAGCAGTACTTAAATTATTTTTTCGACTTGAGGGAACGCAAAAACAACTTTTAGAAAATATGCTTCCTCTCGAAACTCACTTCAACTGGAATACCCTTTTTGGCTTAGGAGGGTAAGGTAGGTTATGTTAAATATAGTTTAACAGTAATTTCATTTAAAATTTTATTGGTTTCTTATTCCTCTTTTACATCGATAATAAGGAAGTTGTAAAGCATTTTAAATTTTAATTTTTATTAAATATATTACAGGTTAAAAAATTAAGTTTAAAAGGGTTTCATATAATAGAAATGAGAAATACACGTTTATTATTTTGCATCACCTTAAATTATTGTTTTATTAAAAGTGCTTCCTTGTTTGACTAGACTTTTAATATCTAGTAACAGTTTAAAAGTGTTTTTGTGTTAACTATTTTAACTAAGTTCTAGGTACTGTTCTAGTATCTTTGTCATTAAAACTTAATATTAATAAAATTTTATTTTAAATATCTTGGTAAATTTTACCCCTCCCATAAAAAAAGCTAAATCCGCCCTTATTTGAAAGTCAGTTTTTGTATTATATTTTGCAAGTTATTAGTTGTTGAAGTAATGTATTATACGTTAAATTTTAATTAATGCATCATAGTTGTTTCTAACCTAAAATTACCATTTACATGGGCGTACATACCCTTTTTATGTTAAGTTATAGTTATGATTTGGTTCATCGAACAATGATTAATTTCAATTTTTCACTAACATTAAGAAAATTGATCAACTAATTTTAGATTAGCACTTCCATTGTGTTCTTTTTAATTTTACACATACAATATAAAAACAACTTTCTTACCAAAATATTATGTTTATTGTTAATTTAGTTTCATGTACCATTTTTCTTAGCGAATTTATCATTTTCATAAATAATGTATAGTGTAAAAGTTATAATGACTTATGATTTGCTGTACTAACTATAATTAATATTTATAAAAATAATAGTATGATGTTTGTTTATTTTAAACAACAGTTTATTTATTAATAATTTATTTAAACACTTATTTATTTTATAACACTACTATTATAATTTATATATATTTCGAATGTCTTTAAACTGTTCACTATTTATCTTCACTGTCCATATATCCAATGACTTTTTGTTGATCCTCCACCAATATTTATATACAAATTGGTGATTCCAGAATGCTTCTCCACCAAAACATCTCATATCCGAAATATACCAGAAACATTATCACGATGCCTCAGGAATGTTCGCGAAAGTGCCTCCGCCATAGTCGTCACATATGTTTGGTCTTAAGGGGTTTAATTATGTATGATAATCGGACAAGTTGAGTCTCAAAGGCCAAATAAGACAGAGAGGGACTTGGAGGATTAGAGCATGACTGAATAATGAAATGGCTCACATAACAATAGTAATAGTAAATTATTAACAAACTTAAAATCTGATCCTATCAAAACGTATTGATCATTTATGACACGTTTTTTTTTGCATTTTCAGTTTTCCACTTGATGAAAATAAAAGAAGATAATAGGCCAGGATGACTGGAATCCTGGAAAAAAGTTTTTATGTTCCATTTTACAGAAAATTACTTTGATAGATCTTTCTCTCTTGTTGTTACACTGCTGCTAAATACTGTACCTACGATTCAAGTGACTATGATGAAATATGAAAGTATTTATTTACAATTATCCGTATTTTTATTGATAAAATTGGACTAAATATACAATATTTTTAAGATGTCTTTAATTTTGAAAAGTAATAGGTGCCTAAATCAGATAATAAAATATTTACTTCAAGCACACGCACACTATTATGGCGTGTGTTAAGAACTTATTTTAAGCAGAAAAAAGTTTTCGACACCTATATAATTATGGAAAATTTAAAATAGATTGTTTTGTATTTTTTAGGTGAAAACCCACAACACTTTGATTAAACAGTAATAAACAGGTAACAACTGCCTGTGATGAAGCTTTTTTTAGCTCTTCCTGGACCTTCTATTTGTCAACAAAGTTATACATACATATAGAGAACCTTCCTGATTGCCCTCGTAAAAAGAAGCTTAAAAGACGAATCCAAAACTTGGATAGCACACAGTTAAGAATATTAAATTAAGGAAATAACAGCAAACTGTATGTAGACAACGGAAAGTCATCAAATCTTTAAAGAGAATAATGTACTGGAACTCAAGAAAAAAAATTTATTATGGCTAATTTAGAGTTCAATTTACTCAAGTTTTTCAAATGCAATACCCTGTATATT